ATACCCTCTTAACTCATCAGTGTTTAGCCACGGCGAGAGATTCGATGTTCGCCGATCGTCGCGCGAGGAACGACACGATCGAGGTTGGGCGTGTAAATGGCGAAGAAAAAAGTCGCGTTCCCCACGATATGCGGCGGTGTAACGCGTTGGCTCCGTGACGCGATACGATTTGATAAGTTGTGTCAACTGCTCGTTAGTTAATTGTCGGTGCGACACACACACACACACACACTCTCTCTCTCTTTCTCTCTCGTCCAGTGTGCCGCGGAACGAGTCTACCGGCCCGTGTACGCGCCGGTATACGCAGTCGCAACGAGCCCAACCCCCTCACCCTCTGGCTAACTTTGTCACCCTTTTCGGACACCCTCGGCTGATGCTGGCAACGCGATCCCCGCAACCGCCCGATGTACTAGCCGCTGTCCAATGAATGCCCTTCATTTCCATACTTCGCTCGACGGTCAGTGAGACCGGCTAATCAGATTATTTAACCCTCGCTCGACCCGCTTGTCCTCTCTTGTCTCCTTCTCTCTCTTTCTCGACCCCTCCGAATCTCTACGCGTGATTTTCGCGACGATTCACAAGGCGCCTATGTATGTGCCTTGTTCGCGATTCTTTATGTATGTATGTATGTATGTATATATGTATGTACATACGTATCTGCAAACGAAAGTGCGCGCGAACGCTTGACGAACGAACGAAAAACGATGGCGCGGTGTAATTACGCGCGTCCGCGGCGTCGAACGATCCTTCTCTCACCTAAGAGACCCGGCCTCGCAAAAACGGAGGTGATTCTTTCTGTTGGACCGGAGGAACCACCGCGTGGATGAACGTCTGTTTCGTAATCCCAGTCGAGGAATCCGAAAGACCCCCGACGCGGCCCGTCCCGGAGAATCTCGTCCTGGAATTAGTCGTAAGCCCGTTTAGCATACGCCCGCGGCAAAAACTCTCCTAGCCGTCGTTTCTCGTGGCTTCGTGGCTCGGTCCTCTCGGTGGCCGCGATCTCGTCGCGAGGGAGAGTCGAATTTGTAGCTGTTCGTTTAAGACCGACTTTCGTAAGAAACGATCGGAATCCGTAGCAGAAACTATGATTTTTGTGTGTTTTCTGGCTAAAGTTCTCTTGCAGGTAGTGTCGGGATCAGACCAGGCCTTGACTAGGCGACTTAGGATTAATATTTATTTTACTCGAGGTACATTTTACAGCAGGCAAAGAAGTAAAATAATTGGAAAATGATTATTTGATATTGGCGCTACTTGAAATATTTGAAAACGATACAGAAAATGTCAAGTTAGATGCTTCTATTTATGTATTTCGCGATGCATCATTTATACTTGCACGAATTCGTCGGTATAAATGCAGAAAATTACAAATTCGTTATTATTTTGACTAGTCTGGTAGATAGCATTAAATAACACATCGTAGTATTTGATTCGATGTCATCTTGAAATAATTCTACGTCAGTGTATGTTCGAGCAAGCAAATAACTTGCCTCAAAAAATTATTCAATCAGTTGCCTATCAAATGAAATAATTCTACTTTGTTTTTCATTTTGTGTCTGCTTCTGTAAACAATTCTTCAAGCAGTTTCTAACTCTTTTCTTTCGCACAAAGTTTACCTTTTACTACCACTGAATTAATTCAAATGATTCATTTGATTTGAGCAAAGTTGCCTTTCCTAGATTATTATTCACATCAGTGGGAACGATTCCTCATATCGAAACTTTTGTTTGTCAAATTTCTTTATATTTCAAATGAAATTTGAACCCGATCCACCTTTACAATAATAATTTCTTTATTTCATCTAGCTATTTACTTTTCCAATGGATGATTCACTTTTGAAACAACTTAGCATACACAAATATTCCATCGCGAAGTGCTTTACGTGTGCACATGACGCTCGAATGAAGTGACAAGAATTTTACATTGCAAAATTAAATTAAACGATACTGACAATTACATCCATGCCACGTTCAAGCCGAGAATTATGCGGGAAGAAAGTTCGTGCTTTCGCAGCGCTCAGGAAATCCAAGTTGGAGATCACGAATTGACTCCCGACCGCGGGATCTGTTTTGCAAAACGAATTTTACGCGGTGGACGAACGAGGCCGCGCTACTCGAGGGGCGAGTGGAAGAAGAAGAAGAAGCGAGAAGGACAGAGTCGACAGCAGGGAGGATCGGCTCGGTGGCACGGGGTTATAACGTAATTGTATTAGTCGGCTAGGGAGAGCACGGCGTGCGAGCAAAGGGGTCCGGCCGTAAAATTAATGCCTTCGGCTTATCAGTGGCCTGACACTTCAGCGCCTGAAAGCCTCGCGTTCCGAGCACTGGCGCGGAACTCGGGGGATATCCCAGTCGCGGATGTTCTCCTCTCTCTCTCTGTCTCTCTCTTTCTCTCTCTTTCTCTCGTTCTCTCGACCCACCATACGAATAGTTACACGCTGCCGGCCAGAGTAATTCCGATTTCCCGACTCGGTGGTAGTACTTGGTTCGTCGTCGTCGTCGTCGTCGGTCACCGCCAATTACTCGCTCGTTTTCGCGCGTTCTAATCGTCACGCTTTTCGCTCCTTTCCGAACGAGAGTGTTCCCTCATCTTCCTTTCGTTTCGCCTCGTTCCGTGGAACGAAGCACACACGCACGGGCAGGAGGAGTATGCTCGTGTATCCCCTCGGCAGAGCGCGGTCGGGACGTTTTCGGTAGGCTATTTCCCTCCTAATGAGTGCCCCATTAGGAAGTAACGGAAGGTATGCGCACCGGGTTCTGTCACGGGCCCACGCGGCTCGATGTAAATCGGATTAATTAAAGTCCGGCATCGGGCAGCGAAAAGCGAAACCGAAGGGGAACCTCGAAGAAGAAGAACAACAACAACAACGACGAGAACAAAAACAAGAAGAAGAAGAAGAAGAAGAAAAAGAAGGAAAGCGGAGAGCGCGGGAATCGTTCCCTCGGATCTCGCGATTTCTCGCGCGAATCCTCCACAAGAGAGGATGTTCGTGGTATCGAGATGACGCGACGCTTACGCGGAATAAATAGATTCCGGGTTACACGACGACGCTCGTGCAAAGGTTGAGGAGCGCGCCGAGCGTGACGAATCTCGTTGGCAAAGCCAATACACCCGGCCTTCGAGATGTTCCTGATTGAGACCAGAGCGCGAAGCTTGCGAGCAGCGAGAGAGGAGGGAGGTATTCGTGTATATCGAAGCGTGGAGGAAAAAAAAAAAAAAAATTGGATCGGTCACGGACACGTGGTACACATCGCCGCACCGCGGAGATCTCGTTCGTTCCTGACTCGAACCGAGAAGGAACCTCCCTATTCCTCCAACTTCCCCTGCGCGGAGAAACTTCTCTCTCTTTCGCCTGGTTTTTCCCTTTCTTGCCTTCTCGGTTTCTTCTCCGGAGCGAGAACTCCCCCTCTTCGACAGCCGTAAGCGGCGCGGCGCGGTTAGGGGATGCTGACTCATACAGGCCGCTCGGCGTCGCACCGCATAGCGGATACATGGCGTGTCACCCCGAATATTATTCGACCGCCTGACAGCGCAATCTGTGAATGCGCGATATTGTCTGGTGGTGGAAGCGGTGGCGGTTCGACTACGTTCCGACGGTTACGCTCGGCATGTGGCACTAGGAATGCCACGCGTGCACCCGCCGCGAGTGAGTTCTTCTCTCTCGCGCGCGCAGCCCGGCTATCTTGACGCGCGATTTTCTACCAGCGTATTTATAGACGTTTGGTACAGTTGATAATTGTACGTGCGTAGAGAAAAAAGAAAAAAAAAAGAAAAAAGAAAAAAGGAGAAAGGAACGTGCTTCGCAACGCTCGATTTTCTGGAATTTCCCGACATATTGCCTGCCGACGTTTCAATTTTTACTTACTATCGACGGATATAATATCTTTACAATCGCGTTACAGAGTAACTGTAGGGCAATGCATACAATGATAACTGAATATCAAGGCTGTTTTGGTCTATATTTTAGTGAAAAATGGCTCCAACAAGGAACAAATGGATGAGCAGAAACTTACAATGAATTTATTAGAATTTATTAAAAGGAGCAAGGACTTATAACTCACAAAGGAATTATTGGAATTATAATTTGATTTAATTTTTAATTACAACAAGTCCGTTAGAATTTATTGAAAATTCGTCCCACAAAATCGATCCTAAAGTCCTCGAGATTTCCTACGCCACCGTCAGTATCACGTCACTCGCGTCGCGCGTACAATATTTACGAGACTGTTCGAGAAAAATTGCGCGAGACGCAGCGTGACTGGAGGAACGCCGCGATTCGTCACGAGCCACTAACAGTGAGTCGCCGTGAATACACCGTGAATAGCGCCAATGTTATAGCGTGCAGTCATACGATGCACTTAAAAATCCCTCGATTTTAAGGATCCTCGTCCTCCCGTTGCAACCAGTGCGTACGTGTGCAGGCAGTTCGAGAAAGAAAGGAGAAGAAAAGGAAAAAAGGAACAGACGAAGAAGTGGAGAAAGAGCAGTTCGTCGACGTTTGTCTCGGTTTCGTCGGGAAACGAAACGACGAGGAGAAGAGAAGACGGGATTTTATTTAGGCGCAAGCGTGTTTTATGGCTCCCCCCGTTTGACACGGGATGCCGTTAAATATGCGACAGACCGTGCGCGTTTCTCTCCCTGTCGGCCAACGCGTGCCTTCCCCCTCGCTTCCTATTCTCGCCCCGATGTCTCTGTTATCGTTCCGAGGATCCTTCTATTAACGAGACCACGCCGCCGGCAGACGAACCGTCCAGGAATTTTTCGACGTTCGAGAAAGGCGTTTCTTCTACTTTTGTTCCTTCGAGGCCGGCAGCTGCGATCGCCCCGGCCGAAACGACAGGCGAAACGTCGTTTTTTCCACGGATTCCCGAGGTCGTTAGCGTCGTCGAATCCCGGGCTCTAAATTAAGAACCGCGGTACGAATTTGTTGCGCGTGCCAATTTGCACCGATCGGAGCCGAGCGTTCGAGGCTCCGGAGTCCAGAGTCGTTTTGGCGAGAGCGATCATGAGTGTGTAGCCTACCACGGGAACGTTCCAACTGAAAAGGTGACGCCAAATTAAGTAGAAACTCGATTTCGTTATAAAATTGGCTAGAGAAAGAGAGAGAGTAAATACGTAGTATACTTGTTTAAAGTAATCAAGATTTTTTTCAAATTTCTACAAGCGTGTATTTCGTATTTCTTTCACCGACGCATGGGGTCGGGGATTCTTCGAATTTTGGAATTGGATGAAGCATGGTTCGCGTATATACGCAATGTTCAACTTTACGTCAGATTTCCAGCGGATTTGAAAAAAACTATAATTAACATTGTTAGAGGTAGCCAAATATTTCCAGTACAATAAAAGATTTTACGCGTTTCGCACGTTTATGCTAGCTCATTATGGATTTATTCAACGTAGTCGCAGACAATTTTTGTCACATTAACTCGATGCATTTTTTTTTTTTAATTACTCGATACTTTTCTTTTTTTTAATAATAATTGCAATTCGTAACCTAGTTCTAACTTTCGTAAGCCTTGTATCTTACTTTAGAACATACCTTACATATCCTCCATATTTAATGTACATAATTTCTTTCTGCTTTACCAAAGAGTTTGTCAACCGTATCAGAAATATCGCTGCTTCAATTTTCTTAAATTTCATGGGAAGAAAATGTAAGAAAGTCCTTGAAATTTTCATTCATAACCATGTTGAAAATATGAACCAATTGAGAAAGCTACTGCGTCAACTGCCCTCTTAGGAATACGACGAGATTTTTCGCGAGCAGCAAATTGTGCAAAACAATGAAATTTATCCGGCGGTAATTACATTAAGGACAAACTTTGAGAAATAAATAAAAATTTTGAAATTTTGTTTTACAAAGAATCTGATAAATCGTAACAACGTAACAGTCTATAAAGTCTCTTCGATTGATTGTGAGAAACGATAGTGACGTCACTATGGTGACGTACCGTTTAAGAAGATGACGCATGCAAAAATTGTAATACAGAGACCATTTAAGTGAGGCCATCGAAATATCTTTTCGAATCGTGATGATGTAAAGAAACATTTCCTGCCTAATATAAATGGTATCAAACTTTCTTTTTCTTTTACCAAGGTCATTTTCGTCGGAGTATTCAAACTGTATGTTCTCTTTTATTGCATCGTGTAGCTGGTAAAACGATACGTTCAGATAGTTACGAGATTAACCCCTTAGGCTGGCAACTGGTTCGCGGACCATAACGAGTGACCAAACCGTCGCTAAAATTCGTCGCTATCTTTTTGAACTCGTCGGTACGATATCACTGGATAGAAATGATTAAGAAGTAATAAACTTGTCAAATTCCAGCGCAAGAGGTTAACGAATCAATTCGCTGTCGCCTCCATCAAGAAGGCGTATTCTCGTCTCGAAGAGGCTTGACCAAACACAAATCGTAGAACTTGAAAATCGGTGAAAGCTAACGGAGTTTTTTTTTTTTTTTCTTCTTCTTTTACAAAGTTTTACAGTCGTACGGACAAGAATCGAGAGGATGGCCGTGAAATTTCAGCCGACGGTGTCGCGGATTCACCTTTTGCCGCGGAATCGGTGAAAAGGATATGGCCGCTTTGTTTCGAGGACGGCGTCGCCGGCCGATATCACGGTCGAGCGAGTTTTCGGGGCAGTGGAAGGACGGAAATACGGGCTGTCGGCCGACTCTGTAGCAGTCGGCGGGGCCTGGTAATACGCCGCGCGGCCTGTGCGAGGTTAAGCGACGAGTCGATTGAACGCGGTGATCGCGAGGACACTCTGAGAGGAGAATGGGAGGGGGTTAGGGTCGGGGGTCGCAGCAACGGGTCCAGCAACCGAGGTGGAGCACGCGGAGTCGTGGCCGAGGGTTCGTTTCGGCCGAGGACGTCGATAAGCGGCTCGCATTGTCCGACGGTCACGTGGCCCACCCTCGCACACCCCGAAACGACGCCTTGTCCATGGGCTACCGTCGTTTATATTAAACTCCGAGGTTAATACCGTGGCTTACTCTAATACCGGGGCAACCCTTTGCCCTGCGATACGCCGATAAGGGTTACCGCGGCCAACCGGCCAACTTCCTCCTTCGTTTCTCTCGGCCGCGAGCAGCCACACGTCTCCGCGTTCTCTCGTGAAACAGCAACGCCCGGAGTTTCGTGGAAAGAAGCGACCAGATCATTTATACAGACGACCGTGCGCTCGGATTCGGAAGCGTAGCACCAAGTACAATCGGACATTATATCCATATTTCACTTTGAATCACGTTATCGTTTGTACCGAATCATAGTTTTGAAAGTGTAATTTTGAAAAAAGGGGACTTGGGCAGGAAAGGGCATTGCACTTTGAATATTTCATTAGGCTCTTTAACTCGAGTGGAACGACCTGATAATTAGTTTCATAAATATTAATAATATATAATTATCATATTATATATGTATATATATATATATATATATATATATATATATATATAACAACGACAAATAGCTTTTATATAAATATTAATTTTCTGAAGTTGATATTCGCAATATATATTGAATCGACTTCAGAAAATTAATATTTATATAAAAGCTATTTATAGTCGAACAAAATTACCGTCAGGGTAAATTCCGCCCGAGTTAAAGGACCACCCAAACGTTGACTTACACAAATCTTGCAACATCTCACGAAAAATATGCCAATCTACCATTCATCCTTTGTTGCAACATATCTCGCTGCAGATGACAATAACGACAAGACGAAACGAGACATCCTGCACAGTGCTTAAAATACACCAGATACGTCCCGAAATGTGTACAGACATTAACGTTTTAACGCTCGGCTACGGAGAGGCCACCTTGTGTTATAGATAGATGTGCCTTCAATCAGACAGAGGAAATATAATGCGAATACTGTGCGGAAGAGCGGCGTGTTCCGCGTGGAAAGTTGAAAGAATCAAGGTTTCGCGAACGGGAGCCGTCGTTTTCCATCGACGGCGAGCGAGCGAGCGAGCGCGAGATGCAAAGAGGGCAGATAATAAAAGGAAAATGGGTAACGCTCAAAGTCAAGAGTTGGGGGACGCGACCCCGACTCGACACCGAGCAACAATGCGCCCGATAGAGAGGCGGCCGCGAGTCGCTGTGCTCGTGGTCCCGGGTTCGCAGATAACGCGCGCCAACCCTCCCTCTTCGCGACTCATCCCTTCGCGCTTCGATTCTCGTTTGCTCGTTTCGTTCCCTCCTCTCGTTTATCTCGTTCGTTCTGCTGTTTTTCGCCACCGTTGCTCTCTATCTCTTCGAAATCTTCGAAATCGTAGTCACCTGAGCGGGAGGGGGGAGGGAGGGGGGGTTGAGTAACGCTGTTTGTTTAACGATGTTTCAAAACATGATAAATAATACAACTTTTGATCATTTTACATAATAATACACGCGTGATAAAACGAAGTTTCTGGAGTCTGTGTAATTCCGAATAAAATATGTTTTGATACAACAAACACTACGTGTGGTAGAAATGCATGTGAGCATGTTCACTGTTCGGGTCTTATGCGTGTGTTACGTGTACGCTATTTGAGAAGTCAGATTTATTTATTGTAATCGTGTTAGTGTTACTTCATGATATTTCTTGAATGAAATTCATTCAATATTGATCGAAAAACGTGAATCAATGCACGTCACGTGTGATACGTTGGACGGGAACACTCACGGAGTGAATTCCAAGGATTTGCTCAATGTTTCTTTAATAGATTCCATAATTTTATGAAATTTCAAGAAATTGGAGGATTTCATGATATTTTAATAAGTCATTACTTGGTTCTTAATGGATTGATATTAGAAATACCGATGACTAAAAAAAAAAAAAGAGATGAAAATTATAGTAATAAAGTTTATAATACAACAAACAATACAAGCTCTTGTTCGTACATTTTACGAAAAATGTTTCTAAAATAACTTCATTTTATATCATATATTTTTCTACATATATATTCTTCATACATATTCTTTTATATATGTAAAAGAATACTTCACACCAAGCTCGAGTAAGAAACAAAAATAAAAATTTGTATGATAAAATAAAATAAAATAAATAAATATAAATATAATAAATAGAATTTGTATAATATAATCTAAAATACAAATAAAATAAACAGACATTTCAAATTCACAAAATTTCTATCAAAAATTACAAATTAATATATTAAACTTGTTAAATTCAATGTCAATAATACACCCTCTCAACTCCCCCCGCAATCTCTAATAAATATCAAATATAAATAGTGTGGTAAATATAAATTTACTCGAACCTTCGGTATCGTTTTCTGTCGCCTTCGATATATCGACGAGCAAACCGTATAATCTCGACGGAGGAGAACGGTTTCTCACGAGGCTCGATCGATAGACGCTGATTAGAGATAGTAACGCGAAGAACGCGGAATCGCATCGAACAGACCCATTTTCCGTTCGTCTTTCTCTCTCTCTCTCGATAGTTTTGCCGTGATCGATAAATTATCCGAGGTTAACAGGTGAGCGCGGCGAACGACAGACGGCGATAATAACGACAACGATAAACGCGTCAATAATACGTCAGGAAGGAGGATCGGGGACGCGGAAACGCGGCTAGGCGATATTAACGATCGGCGTTCCGACTGTACGCGCTCGCTGCTGGATTTCCCTTCGATTTGGGTTACCGTCCCTCCCCCGTCTCTCCTCCCTCGTTCCCTCGGCTTTGATCCATCGCCACCGGCCGACATTCTGGCCGCGTTCACCTCCATTTCCTTCTGCGGCCTTTCGTTCTTCTCGCGGCCGCGAGTATCCACCAGGCAGACGAGAGGGTGGCGTTTACGGCAATTGGACCCCCTCGTGATTTTCGTGTGTGTGTAACGAGAGAGAAAGTATCTCGGGGCATTGAATCGAGAAAATCATTTTAAAGTTTCGGTTTTTTTTTTCTCTCTAATGAAATTGGACCGTTTAATGCGAAAAATTAATTTTTTGCCTGTTTAATATCATTAGTCTCGGACAAGTCACTTGAAACTTCTTTCTGTTTTACACGGGAATAGTATATTTTCACAATGTAAATCT